AACTGTGCTGAGTATTGGCAGCTCAATATGAATGATTTTGTACTCATGTGACACCGGATGATGCCATAGGATGATATAAGAGCAGTGTTGGATTAGTACATTTCAGGAGCAAAAATCAAGCAAATGCCTTAAGAGGGATTTTAACTTGTATCCCAAATTAACCTCTGGAAACAATGAAAGCCAAAGCTGCTTGAGATCTCTGTATCCTGAGGTGACCGTTTATCGGCTAAAGTAACGTCCCAGAGGAATCGCCATGATCTGGTGTACGCATAAAAAAACAGAGCCAAATGGCATGCTCTAGATTTGCAAAATCGTCTGAAGAGAGGATCATTGTCTTGGTTAAAAGCCCCTGACTGATGGAGCTGTATATCTAAGCGCAGGCTTATTTTTCATCCATACAGACAGTGATACAACAGAATTAGCAGAGATAAGGGTTTGTAGAGGACAGACCCATAGAGAGAGGGATAAAGAAAATGGGGGAAATTGTTTTTTTTAAGTTAAAGCACCCTGTGGCTATGTTTACGTTTGTGGATTTTTGTTTTAAAGAGCACGACTTTTGCCAAGATTAGGCCTGGCTTCTACACTACTCTAGAGTTAACTAAGGGCCTACTCACACTATGCCATCCGTACCGTGCCCATGCCCGTTTCCCGGATCGTTTGAGAAGTGTGAGTGCGCTGAATCACTTGGCCGGCCCTGGCCCAGTTGGAAGAGGTGTTTCTGAGCGCGGTTCACTTGGGCTTTGGCACGGTACGTTTGTGTGTGAGTGCAAAACGCGCCAAAGCCCGAAACTGAAAGCGAGACGTGACTTTTAAGGGGCTGTTTCATATGGATTTATTAATCATTCTTACTGTTCAGTGAACGCAAACTGTCGTAGTTTATTAAAGACGAGAACTCCTCACAGCACGACAGCTGCCTTCAGCAGACTTCCTCATTCCTGCAGCACGAGAGCTTTATGATCGTTTATGAGCGCCAAAAGTGGCGGATCTGTCCGGCGAAATATCTGACTGCGTGTCACTGCATCCCTAAGGACTGTTTGGCGAAATATTTGACTGCATGTCACTGCATAACAAACGATTGAAACGATATAACTAGAGAAATCTCCACTGTGCTGCTGAGTGAGAGAGCGCTTCCCACTGAACAGCGCAGCATCGATGACGTAAGCGTGCCGAGGCCCGTTTGTGGTTTGAGTGCGGGCCGTCGGGGGAGACGGGACAAGCGTGCTTTGGCCCAGTTCGAGGCAACTGTACCTAGTGTGAGTATGGCCTAGTACTCAATTAAACACTCTATATTTTCGGAAAACATGATGTGATTTAGTGTACTTCAAACAGGTGAGTGGGCTTCACAAACCACCTTTATATAATGCATTTCCTTATATAAATTAATAAAATAAAAATAAATTCAGATTTGTATCCTGCTCTCTTCTGAACACAGAAAAATCTGCTGTTAGCAATTTAACACTAGATGCATATTTTCTATAACAATTACTATTGTCACTTATATTCTAACACTGAACTTCCAGTTTTGCCTTTAATTGCACTGTATAGCTACATATATTTTCAAAACACTGGCAACATTTAAGACATTTACTGACAACTTTTTCTGTCATTGCCTTTTACTGGTAACAAATGCCATTATTATTTGTGTTTTATTTAATACTTTTAAATAGACTATAGTTTAGTACTGATTTATACCTTTTAGTTTCTGACATGCTCTATCAGTGTTTTGAGATCTTAAACGTATTAAAAACGAAAGTGTGGAATAGGATTGTTTTCATTTTTAAAACGCTGTGTTAAAACAAATGCACACTAGTGTCAGCGAAGTCTAAGAGAAAGCAAGAAAGAGAAAGACTGGTGCTGACATTCAGCAGTGCAGAGGGGCTTTGAATGTTGTCATATTAGAGCGCTTGGCTAATTGAACATGGAAATGGCTTTGTCGGAGCAGTTTTCTCGGAGGAAGTGTGGACTCGCGAGACGCTGTTTTCTGCAAGAACAAGACAGAACACAGCCTATAGAAATCCCCAGAAGAGCTCAAAACAAGTCAAGCGTCTCAAAATCAGTGACGTCCTAGACCGAGCGCTTGCTGAAGAGTCTGACGTGAGAACACAGAGACGCTTGGAGTCTCTCCAGACAATTAAAAAGGTCTTTCCACACATCGAAAATCCATCTGAATTGTGTCTGAAAACTCACTGAAGTTCTGCTGCTAGATGAACTTCTCATTCAATAATGATGAGCGCCACAAGCTACACGTTTGGATTCTGTCTTTTAAACCTGTGTTTAAAGTTTTTAGCTATAATAAAAAATACTGAGCTATTTGTTATAGATTAAGACTTTATTTTTAAAAAATGTGTTGGACAGTCAAACACTGTTAAAAAATTCTGTTCCACATAATGAATTTGTGTTGGGACAACATGAAGGAAGTTAACTTAACTTATTATTTGTTATCATTTTAAGTATTTTAAACATAAAACAATAAAGTTCCTCCAAAACAAACTCAAGAATTATGTTGTCTCAGGTCATTGTAAAAAAGTAGTCTGAACAAAAAACAAACGTCATTTTTTTGAGTGAACATTGTAAAACACTCCAGATATTCCCAGCAAAATGTTAAAAAAAGATTAATTATAAGGCAAATATAACTCTATAATTGAATATACATGTACAAATTTAAATGCAAGAAAATAATAAATAAAATATATGAAATAAAATATGGAAGAGGCATCTCAGTCTTCTCTTTTAACCAAAGCAACAAGCAAAATGTTGATAATAATAATAAAAAAGAAATAATGCAAACTCAGAAAATTGCTAATGCATTGTGCTTTTGCCATATCTCAGAATTTTCCAATTATTACTGCAAAATTTGTCAGCATATAAAACATTAATAGAAAACTCAGTGAAAAATGTATCAAATTGTAAATTTAGACAAATTATTATTATTATTTCTATTGTCATAAAAGATAAATCCATATTTCGATAACACTTTAAAATAAGGTTCTATTAGTTATTATTGGTTAAGGCATTTGCTAACATGAACGAATAATGAATACATTTATTACAGCATTGTTATTAAATCATGAATTTAATGAAATCTTATTGTAAAGTGTGACCCAAATGATAAAATAAAAACAATACACTACCTGACAAAAGTCTTGTCGCCTATCCAAGTTTTAGAAACAACAAATAATAACTAGACTTCTAGTTGACCATTTGGTATCAGAAGTGGCTTATATGAAAGCCAAAATCTCCAGATTATGCTTATTTTATTCAAATAAAATATGATCATGTCTTGATTTTTAATTGTTTAATTAGGACAGTTAGGTCTGACTTTGCTTAGACAAAAATTGTGTCACTTAACAGAAATAATGTACAGTATAGAATATAAAGTCATGGTGATTGGGAAAAGAATTATTATTGTGTGACTCCCATGAGCTAGGACGACAGTACCCATACATCTCTGCAATAAATGACTCAAATAACTTATTAATAAAGTCATCTGGAATGGCAAAGAAAGCGTTCTTGCAGGACTCCCACTTCATCAAGATTCTTTGGATTCATCTTCAATGCCTCATCCTTTATCTTACCCCAGGCATGCTCAATAATGTTACAGGCTGGCCAAAACCTGGAGCACCTTCTTTGCTTTTAGGACCTTTGATGTGGAGGCTGAAGTATGAAGCCTGATTTATACTTCTGCGTCAAGTGACCGGCGTAACCCACGGTGCATGCAACGCGCGTGGCTGTGCATTTATACTTCTGCGCGCTGTCTCTGTTGGTCTGCATTAACACTTCCGAAACGCTAGTTGGCAGTGAGGTGTAAATCTTCCTCTGTGTCGAGTTTCTTCGTTGCTTTTTTGCTTTTCCTGAACACTTCCGGGATGTACAAGTGGCTCAAACTCGCTCATTTTAAGGCAGGAACTGCCGGACGTACAACAACTTTAACTATGAGGTAAACACAAAACAAAACTTTCCATCCGGAGCTCATTTACAGGACTCCACACTTGTAAACAATCGCTCTAGGCCCCGCCCAGACTCATCAGCGCTACCAAGCTGACCAATCACAGAGCTTACGCTACGCCTTGTTGCGACGTGTAGTTACATTTTTTGAGAGGTGCACGTCAGTGATGCCGATGGCCACGGCGAAGGGCTATGCGTCAGCGCCGTAGCATACGCCGGCATTTGACGCAGAAGTATAAATCAGCCTTAAGAAGGAGCACTATTGTGCTGAAGAGTTTGCCCTCTCCTGTGGTTTGTAATGTAAAGGACAGCACAAAATGTCTTGAAACCTCAGGCTGTTGATGTTTCCACCCACTCCGCAGATCTCCCGCATGCCTCCATACTGAATGTAACCCCAAACCATGATTAATACATCACCAAACTTGACTGATTTCTCTGAGAATCTTGGGTCCACATGGGTTCGAATAGGTCTTCTGCAGTATTTGTGAAGACTGTGATGCAGTTCAACAGATGATTCATCAGAAAAAAATCTACCTTTGGCCACTTTTCCAAATGATCAACTAGAAGTTAAGTGATAACTTGCTGCTCTTACAACTGGGATCAACGACAAGACTTTTGTCAGATATCGTAGATTAAAGATTATTCTTTCAATTAAAAAAAATGCAATTAATAAGAAACCGCTGTGCTCATCTCACTTTTACTTTTGTCATCACATTCTGCTTTCAAATGAGAAAGATTTTATCACGCCTAAGCCTGGCAGTGACAATTAATAATAATAAAAGCAATTGTCCCGAACGCATTGATTCAATATAAAGACAAAAACAATACCACAATACTTTCATTTTCCCAGTAAGCTGCATTTCAAAAGCGATTGGTCTTTGTAGTCACGATTTTCTCCTTCACACTCTCTAAAAAATCCCTGTACCTTTTGTCCTACATGAATGGCATTAGTGTGGCTTTGGAGCCGATCTAATTTAAAAACGGAAATATCAGTGTGGCAGTAATTAAAGCTGTTAAATAGCTGTGTGGATTGAGCACAATAACACAAGTCCCACCTCAATGATTTTGCGCGCCTCCCTGTTGCGGCCCGTTTGCAGGAAGGCAAAGAAAAGGTCGTAGAGCATCATCATCTCGCCCCGTTCAAGAGTCAAAAACTCCATCACTGTCAAGACCAGAGAGAGATGAGAAGGTCAATAAAACAGGCACATGTCTGTCAGGTAAGACACAGCAGGCAAACACACATTTTTTCATACATTTTAAAATGTTGGGCTTTTCGGCTTCCTAATGTGTTTTTATTTACTTATTTTGTTTTAGTCTTTAAAATGTCCAAAAAACATTTGGTCATTTTATTACAAGTTAGCCTTTTGTGTCTGTGAATTTCAATTAAAAGTAGGGGTCTGAACCTACACTGGTCTCACGGTTCGGTTATGATTATAATGTCATTGATTCAGTTCAATTTGATATCTCTGTGCATCAAAGTGCATTGACAATGCTTTCCATCCAAACTTACATTTTTTTCTTCAAAACACAGGAATTATTGAAATTAAATCTCCACTTTAGCTGTACTTCAAACTTCACACTTTAGTTCCTATTCAAACTGAATTTCATACCAACTTTGCCTGAATACATACAATATTTTGTTATACATCTATCTATCTATCTATCTATCTATCTATCTATCTATCTATCTATCTATCTATCTATCTATCTATCTATCTATCTATCTATCTATCTATCTATCTATCTATCTATCTATCTATCTATCTATCCATCCATCCATCCATCCATCCATCCATCCATCCATCCATCCATCCATCCATCCATCCATCCACCCATCCATCCACCCATCCATCCATCCATCCATCCATCCATCCATCCATCCATCCATCCATCCATCCATCCAGTCAAGTATTTATTTATGTTGGGCTGTTTGGAGCGTTTCTGAATTTGTGCAGTAATATAACAAGATATCCAAAATGAAAAAAAAAAACCAACAACAATTTTGAATCTGACTATGCAAATTATATAATATATATATATATATATATATATATATATATATATATATATATATATATATATATATATATATATATATATATATATATCAAAAAATATTTTAAAACATATTTATATATAAAAATATATAACATTTAAAATTTAAATATAAAAATATATTCTATTTTCCTAAGCGTAAATTCGGCACATACTTTCAGTATTATGTTTGCTTTAACTGACCAGATTTAATCCTGTTTATATGAATTGAACCTGCTTTCAACCAGGTTTGATTTACCAGAACAACTCTCGGACCAGTTTTGAAGAATGAAACGATCCTGGATTGTGTCAAATCGTCAATATCCAAATCTAGCTAATCCACGTACAGAGGACAGACCCTTGCTCTTTAATACTCCAGCAAAAGCCAGAAAACACTCCAGCAGATATGTGTTTACATCAGTGAATGGGTTTGCCATTGCACATGTAGAATATATCTCTGAGAGAGCGGGTCACTGGGGCCATAAAGTGGCCCTCCAGCATCGAGGTCTCACTGCCTTAACACTTCAGATCTACTCACCCCAAACACACGAAACACTTAACCCCTCCACCAACCCTGACAGTGACACACACTATCCAAACCGCCATCATCCAGACTGCAAACCTGCCCTTCAGTGGGTGGAACTCTTCAAAATGTACACGTTCTGCACACACACACATAATGTAATGTGATGGATAGGCTTTTACACACCTTTCTGTAAGAGCAAGGCATCTCCTTTCTCCACCAGGCTGCACATGAGGTCGTGGATTTTGGGCAACTGGTTGTATTGTTTATGGCACTCCATAACGGCATCGAATGCTCCTGCATGATCCCCGCTAGAGAAAAACAAACAACAGCTTATAGCAAAACATGCGCCTGTGTCAAATCATTCAGACTGTTGTTAATGGTTAAGCTTTTATCATGGTACAATTACAGTGTGGTGTATAAACATGTTGCAACTATAAACTAATTATAAAAAAAAGGAAAGTTAAACTTGAATGCTGTTTTTAATAACAACAAGTTAGCTGTTGCTATACTTTAAACTAAAGCAACTTTGAAAAAAGAATAATAAAGACTTTCTTAAAAATACAATCAAAATTACACTGGTCACAAATGCTAATAATAACTCCTTTCTTTCTATTTGTTTGTCTAAAAATGTTGAACGGCCATAATGTATTAAAAATTATTTAAAACTCTAAAACAGAGCTGCGTTTAAGCATCGATATCACGATGTGTAAATCTGTAATAGTCACATCGGTGGATCTGCAATGTTGAGTCTGCAATATTAAGCACACATGATTTGTAGAGTTACTGAAGAGTTTTATCAAAAGAGAGTTTGTTTATCAACTGCATGTGTTTTTAAAGCATGTGACTGTGAGCATTTCAATAGAGTTTAAAGCACTTGGGGACAAAGAAATTATGGAGAAGTAATAAAGATTAATTGTATGTAATTACTGATACGATGAAGACTATACAGTGTTATTTCACATTTGCACTGCAAAACAATAAAAGCTTTTCTTAGAATTTTTG